CATCGAAATAAACTTAAAATAAATGGTATATCCGTGACCTTACAGCTGGTTCTCCACGCTCCTATGGATTTGCCGATCGTTGGCTCTGCATTTCACAACTACGAATTCACAAGCAAAGAGGAAGCCACTGTGCAAAGTGTGCGCCAGTTCGAGCTAACTCCCATGTCGGATGAAGAGACCGTGATCAGCGTAGCTCCGGTGTTGACGGAATCCTCCGAACTTCTTCAGGCCGTGGACGTCGAGAAACGCCAATGTTACTTTCTGAACGAAAGGCGGCTCCGTTACTTTCAGGTAACAACTAAAATACACGACAGTAGTTAAGTAAGGGAAGGTGGGGTAGATTGGGACACGGGGTACATTGGGACAGTAGCAATATAACATATTTCTAACAGTATTTACGTGCTGAAAAAAATTGACACGTAGCCAATGTTAGCATATTTCATGATGGTATCAGTGTTGGGAAGATTGCACACCATGCCTGATGTACAGAAAATATAAAAAGACGATAAGCTCAAAAATCTGTTAAAAGTAAGGTACCTTCTTATTTTATTTTGCTATTTTCAACGCAAACTGAAATGAGATAGAAAATCGCGCAAGTGGCTGGTCAGTAGGTAGTTCCTTACGACGCATTTTGCAAGTAAGGAGTTTGAGTTGAATCCCAAAATACCGAAGAAAAAGAAAGAAATCACAGGAAAGGCAATTAGGTGCACACTGGGACAGTACACCAAAAGTGCTCAATGTAACCCCTCAAAAAATCCAAAAACTGTCTCATCTTGTAGATAACTGGCCTATTTAGGCTTCCAGACCGCAAGGCGGTTCGTATGCTGATATTTCACAGGAAAACGCGTCAACTGTCCCAATGTGCCCCATCTTATGTATTCTTATGGTGTCCCAATGTGCCCCGTGCCCGGGAACATTGGGACAGGTGACACATTTCGGGAAAATCTCTCTACAGCCAAAGAGCATGAGATAAAAAATCAAGACGATATAGGCTGTGATAGGCCACATATTAATGTACAATTGTAGCCAGTACCGGTCATTCCAACATGCATGATCTCCGACCTACAGCAAAAAGAAAAAATCCGTCCCAATCTACCCCACCTTCCCTTACCCGTACAAAAAAAAGGGGCTTCAGCATGTCTTTAGGATGTCTCTTTGAGAGACTCCGTCCAGACTCCGCCGATGTCTCTCAAGCCACGCCTGAGCCTTTGCTGCGGCAACTCAGAGACACTTAGCATGGCTCTAGAAAAGATCTTTTAAGGCCAATAAAAGACATCCTATAGCGAGCATGCAGACACCGAGCAGACTATCGATAGACATTATAGGGACTGCCCGGAGACAACGCAGAGACTGAGAGGAGACTTTGTGAAGACACACAGGAGACACTATAGAGACATCCAGGAGACACTATAGAGACATCCGGGAGACACTAAAGAGACAACGAGAAGACAAAATACAGACATCCTGAAGACAACCTAGAGACGTCCTCCGGTCACGGAGAAACAGCGCGCGGAAAAATTCGATGCGTACTGGATTTCAACAGCACGACACACCGCGTGATGCGCACGGCACGCCGCCCCGCCGAAACACTCGCACGGAAAGAGGCGAACACGTCGCAGCGGGCGGGACTCGAACCCCCGAACTCCAGTGTGGGAGAGCGGCACGGTATCCACGGGGCCAGGGCGAATACAGTAGTCGGTGGCTGCTCGCCACCTCTACCGAATCGCCGACAACACACTTGTCTCTGCACCATAGGAGGGATCCGCCCAGCTCCCTACAGCAGCGCGCTCGAGCGTTCCCTCACCAGG